TTATATATATCGCATTTCCTTTATATATATCGAGGTTCTGTTTATATATATCGCATTTTCTTTATATATGTCGAGGTTCTGTTTATATATATCGCATTTTCTTTATATATAGAGGTTTGCTTATATATATTGCTTTTCCTTTATATATAGAGGTTGGCACTAATGGGCTTCCGTACTTTCGTACTTTAGGTATGTATTCCTTGTAACAAGACCACATTACCAAATTTGACTTCTTGCCATTTTTACAAAAAATACCAAATTTTAACCTTGATCATAACTTTTGAGCAGTTGCTCGTGCCAGGGTTTTCATACTTTACATGTGTCCATTTTAAAAAGACTTTTCATTTGGCATAAATATCACTGACCATTTGACCTCGACCTTAAAGTTTGAAGCACTTTGTACAAAACAAAAACCACTTTAACTTTTACTATAAAGTTTGAAAAGTATGTACTAAGGCTTTCATACATGTATATCACAGGTTTAGCCTTTGAGAACAGACTTTTGTATTGATCCTAACATTTGTGATCTTTTTACCCTTGATTCTGACTTGCACGTGAGAACGTTGAATCTTTACAATGAACTGTCGTATGGACGCATTAGTGTCTCACCAGCAATATTTTTTGTTTTGTTTTTCAAATATTTCAAGCATTTGTTTTGTATTAGTTTTCAATATGTATCAATTATCTAGCTTCTCTTCAAGCATTTTCCTATTAAAAGTTTTAGACTGCTCTTATTCATTATATAGGAAAAATCTCACGCTTTTAATACAGGCTGATGTACGGCTGGTTGGTTGGTGGAGTGTTGGGATTCAGACCAGAAACATTCCGTAAAGTAAACGGATATTCCAACATGTTCTGGGGCTGGGGAGGGGAAGACGACGATATGTACAATAGGTGAGAGAGGTTATTTTTATTATACAAAATAATATTTACTAAATTATGGTAATTTGTGATGATGTATATAATACTATTTTAACGTTCTCATTCAGCAAGATATATCATATAACTATAACATAAAACATCATATACCAGGAACGAATTGAATGAGAATGCAAATTACATCACAGCAAAAATCAATTCTTCTGTAACTATTTTTAAAAGATTTTAAGAAAGTAATCTTGTTGACGACCAATCCAATCATTCAAAAATTTTCGACTTCCATTTTAATTTTGGAATAAGCAGTTTACGATAATATTAAAATCCCACGTTTTTTTTTATTTCCGTCATGAATGAGAATTAAAAAAAAGAAAGCCGCAGGTAACCGCCCTTTGAATAATTTTGCGATTTATTTTAATGTCCATTGGAGTTTTTTAGCATCCACATCTGATATATAAGCCTTTGAGAATATGCTGTAGAGCAAACAATTTTTCATAGAGAGACAAGATTTGTATTTTATAGAACTTTCGCTGGACCCTGCAATGTATTTTGTTGTAATGATTTTTCAGAGCTTGAGGGGTCAAATATAAGTTGGGTACATCAAACTCACATTGGTTGACAAAAAATGGTTAAAAGATTTAACACTGCAATAAGAGATTTTCATCTTTAAAATTTGTAGTAAAAATTAGACTTGGATTTCAATAGGAGGAATTAAAACTTCTGAAAGTTTTCCTGAAATACATTTGTAATAATAATAAGTCTTACAAAGACAATATTCCATCAAGCATTGCCTGTTTGGACGATAATATATTGCTCACGTAGTTTTTTTCCTCTTAATATTTGCACCACCTTCTTTTAGAGACTAGTTGAAGTAAAAAGTTTTGTATATTGCCTTTAAAAAAATTATTATGTTCCCAAAATACATCGATTCAAACGAAATGTTTATTTTTTTACTTATACTTAGCCCAATTTCCAATATAATCTATCGTCGATTAAAAGTACAGTGCTTCATGAATTGTGTATTGTTTAACCGTAAGAATTTTGACAATATGACTTTAATTGAAAACCGCATCAAGAAACTTAATTTTTCACGCAGAAGGTTTTGAATGGAATTATTTTTCGTATAAATACGAAAATACTTTAAGATCTGCTTATATTGAGTGCACATTCATGGGATTTCAAGCAGGTGATCGGAAAATTTAAAATCAACATAATAATTATATTTGTTTTCACTACCCAAATGCTTTTAGCAAAATAAATTTACATGCATATAATTAACTACATGTAGTTACATATAAAAATGGAAAAAATTGTCTACATCAAATATACTTTTGTTCCGAGGATTGGTTGCCTTTTATTTGTTGAAACTCGTATGTTTTGTCGATCATTGTAACATTGTAAATGTCCCAGGCAAAGCTTGTTATATTTAAACATAATTATATTTAAACAATAAGCGTGACCATTTTATTTACAGAATACGTCATGCAAGATTCCGTGTGATAAGACCTCCAAATTCCATCGCTAGATATACGATGATTCGTCACAAGAAGAGGAAACGATGGTTGAAGAGGTAATTTAAAACTTCATTTTACTCGTCTGTACATAATAAACTAAGACCAAGAACAATTATTAATTGTTTTTCACCCTTTGTGAAATATATTGTGAAAGAATATTTTTATCTTAATTTCTTTTTTAGATATGAAGTTCTCAACACGTGGAAAACAAGGTTAAAAACCGATGGATTGAGAAATGTTCCTTACAAACTCATGTCTTCTCATATTTACACGTACTATACTAAACTCAGAATCGATGTCGGAGTACCCGATTTTCCTATAGAAGAAGATAATTTTACAGTGACAACAGAAAGTACAAGAGAAAGTACCCTGTAAAAAATAAAATGTAATTAAGTATTTTTAAATGCAAAAAACCTTTTACTTTTGGATCATATTTTGTATTATTGTATGGGGTTTTGATCTTGAATACTGTCTGTTATCTGCATATGTTTCATTCAGTATTTAATGGTGTATGACTACAAGAACGCTACTGAACATTTGGTTAAAACAATTTTTGTATAATTTACGGAACTTGATAGGAGATTATAAAATATATGGTCTCTGTGCGGACTGCTTTACAAAACTTCCTCCAGCACATTGATAGACTATATATTGTTATGTTGATATGATGTAGGTAGAAATCATTGAGTCATATGCTGACTGACTGACACGTATTTGACGACGGATTTTTGCGTAATTTCCCGACCGTGACAATGATTATAGGGTGTGACCGGTCAGCAGGGGATGCTCTATCCTCCATGATTCCTGATCCCACCTATGATGTTTTGGAGGTCCGTGTTTGTTCTGCTCCTGATTTGAATTATTTCAGTGGACTCTTAAGCTTGAATACTGTTCGTTATCTCCATACATTTCATTTAACCTCAGAAGTCCAACAATACAAATAAAGAGCAGAGCAAACATAAACATTAAAAATAACGATTGCAAGAGAGTTTTGAAAAAAGGTTTAAAATCTGTTTTTAAAAAAGTACTTCATTACATTTCATTCAGAATGTTTTAGGGAAAAAATCATTGAGTAACGGGTTGCCTACCCAGGGAAAGATCAGGCGTGTAAAGTGTTTCTATGCCGCAATAGACAATACTCATTTTTTGTCACTTCAGCCCAAGCAAATCTATTAGCTTTGTTTGCAAAAAATACTAGTAAACACCGTTTGAATTGAAAAAAGGTCATTTAGTAACAAATTGGCAAAACTAGGACATATGCAATCGAATACGTTTGGTAAGAAAAGTTAATAACAGTCCATAATCAAAATCAACTGTAGATTTTTGTAAAATTTTACAATATATACAATCTCTGAGAAACATCTGACAGTGAAGTTCAATAATTATTGCAAAATCAAATGTAGGGTCCATTTGTGCATCATTCAGACACAATATTCTTGATGATTGTCCACATTTACAAACAGCAAAACGAGGTATGGAGGTCCTAACATTTTTGTAGAATTATTGAACCTGCATGATGTTATTCAAAACCAGCATAAAGTTAAGTTTAAAAACAGACCTATGGCATTTTTTCAATATTAAAATATTCATTATTTTTATTCAATATTATTTGTTAATATGTTCTGCACGATTGCTGTTTAATCATGTAATCTAATGATAAAGAAAAATTTTCAACCAAAACGTCAAAATATCAGAGTGAAAACCACAGGGGCATCTTCATGTCAATTCTGCTGTACATTTATATCAGGCGGTTTTATCATTAGTGGGCGACTATGTGTAAGAATTTAATTCAACACTATTAAAGAAATGAATAATTTATCAATTATTAGCCCAAGGAGGAAATCGAGCATGAAATTTTGAAAGATATCGGCCAAAAAGTCCAGGTACAAATATAAAAGCAGTAATTCTTTTAATCGCAGTATATTTATAAACGATACGAAAATAGGAGGTTTTACATTGTTTATTATGTTCCCCAAACGGAGTTTGGGAACATATTGTTTTTACTCTGTTTCTTACTATTATTATTCTTTTTTCTTCTTATTTCTTCTCCGGTACTTTTTTGTCCGGGAGTGTTCTCAGAAACTGTTCACCCAACTAAGTTAAAACCTTTTTAGGGTTAATAGGTGTGTTGTGTAGGTGTGCTGAACGAAGGTCATTTTGCGCGCATACGCAAGCACGTGCGGGCGCGTGAAGTGAGTGAAATGACTGATATATTTAATATAACCATAACTTTTACATTTTTTGATGTAATGCTTTGAAACTCATTGCATGAGGATATAATAATAGTGATAATATAATGACACTGTCAAATTAGCAAGAACTCATGCGCATGCACGTGCGCTTTGCTCTGATTGGCTGAAACTAAAATCTCAATATTTCTTTTGTTTTTTGACGAAACCGTTTGAAATTTTAAACATTGTCATGCATTAGGATATTCTACAATATGATATAGAAAAAAATTTCATGAAATCACGCGCATGCACGTATGCTACAATCTGATTGGCTGAAACTTTAAATGGCTATATCTCCTTTATTTTTTGACGAAATGCTGTGAAATTTAAAACATAGTCATGCTTTAGGATATCCTGCAATATGCTATTCAAAAAAATTCAATAAATAATGCGCATGGACGTGTGCTGCAATCTGATTGGCTGAAACTTTTAACGGCTATATTTCCTTTGTTTTTTGACGAAATGCTTTGAAATTTAAAACGTAGTCATGCATTAGGATATCCTACAATACGATATAAAAAGAATTCATAAAATCACGCGCACGCACGTGTACTGCAATCTGATTGGCTGAAACTTGAAATAGCAATAACTCCCTTGGTTTTAAACAAAACCAGGATGGGATTTAGAACCAAGATTGATATAAGGGACTCCTATAAGAACGTATGGTCATCATGCATGTGCACACACGTGCGTGCATTTGGAACTCCAGAAATTAACAATACACTTGAATGAGTGATTTTTAATACTTTTGGACTAAATGCTTTAATATATAGTACATTAAAATATATAGATATATAGTGTAGACATTATGATATGGTCATAACGCACATACATTCACATGCGCACGCGTGCAATGCTAAAATTTGAGAAGAATTGGTATCCTTCTGGGAAAACGTTGTTAAAGTAAAAAATTCACAGAGTTTGTCTTATTTAATGAAGTTTACAGGGAGCGTTTGGGGAACATCTGTTACGGTTCCCGTTACAATTAGCACTAGTTAAATTCAGTTCTAAAACAAATCTTAACAGTTGCGTTTTAAATATTAGATTTATTAGTCCTTTCTAGTGTTGAAAATTATACATATAGTACATGTAGTCTTAAATTCATGTATCATTAAGTTTTAATCTTAATTTCGAATTATACTGATGGTGCCCCTCGTTTGTTTGTTTTTGTTCAAAGTCCCTTCGAGAACTTTTCACTTATATTGAGAAGCCATCACTTGCAGACGGATGGCCTCAATTTGATAACTATACGGCTGTGCATTGCAGTCAGGGATATTGAGGAGTGAGGGACCTTTGTGCCAGCATTTATTTTATTCGTTATTATTAGCCTCAGTTTGTATAGTCTTACCAGAAAGAACGGACTTCATGGCCCACATTTGATATACAAATACAACGAATCATTAAGTTTATCTCCTCAAATTTGATAATTTTTAAATTTGTTTATAACTTATGCTTACACAGTTAATCAAAATATTTTAAAACGATAAAGGATCAGTTATACATGTAAAGATTTCTTTCAACCAGTCAAGAAAAATACAAGAGTAGCATTCTCAAACAGCAAAATGCATCGGTGAATATATTTGTTTGCAATCCAGAGTGTTGTCTACGGGAAAATCCCTTTGATATTGTCAAAAATAGAGACGCGCAACGTTAATTGTGATCAATATTATTATTTTGATGATGTACAGCAATCAATTGAATGCCGCATATATATTAATTTTTTAGCACGTATGCTCAAAACACCGAAAGTATTTGGCATGTTTAGTATAATATTTATTTCTTAAATGTTTATGTAACTTGTATTCACAATCATTACTCACTATTTTCTTTAGAAAAATATCTTAAGAATCCATATTAATTCATCTTATATCATTGTAAATTAAAGAAAACAATGACCAGTGAACAATAGGTTATGAATAGAAATCGTCCTGCTTTTTCATGTTCACTGAAATAAGTTGCTTACTTATATCTGCATTCTAGAGGTCGTCAAGATTGAGAAAATAAAAACTCATGCTGATTTCTTTGCAGCTTGTCATTATTAAAACAACGTATGATAAAAAAAAAATCAGAGGATTTAGCTTATCATTATATTTGATATCCTTTGAATCTCCAGTACATAAACAATATTCATAATCAATAAATTCACACATGAAATATAATGGTAAGGAACAAAATTAGAGCTCTAAAGTCTACAGAAACAATAGGAAATTGGAACACAGCTAACTCGGATCTTTAAAAGCATCAGAGTTGAATCAGGTGCCATAGAGGGGTAAGCATCTTCTGTTTAAAGGTCACACTTGCCGTGTGCTCCTTGTCTTAAAGAGAAAACGTGAAATTATGTAGACAATCAATGTGAAAATTATGTTTGAGTAATCTGTATGAAAGACATCACCACCCGACATAATGCTTTATGTATCGACAACAGAATTTTCGAAGCATAATGGAGTTGAACGACACAGCAAGAGACTGTAAATCTGTTTTATTTTGTGCCGATTGATATTCCGGCAGAATGTTGGAAGACTTGATTTCCAATATTACAGAGGTTTTGTCAATCAGAAACATACATTTTTTATATATTAACTTGGAAATACTTGTATGTGCAACCAGAAAGTTTTTTAAACAAAATAACTTTGGAAATTGTACGTTTTCAGTTTTATTTAAAAGCAGCTGTCTATGGTGTCAATAAGTCTGGACATCATTTTATCCTTGAAATGGTTGTCTGCATACGACGTAAAACGTCCTGACTTAGATTTCACTCATAGTTATAAAAAGTGTACATTTCAAATGATGCAATTTGATTTAGCAAAAATTAATATATACCTAAGACATTATTCGGTGTTAGTAAGTATCTAGAACTGATTTACATCTCCTTTTGAACATACGTATATATGCGTATATTTGTACAATTCCTGAAGTTTTCTCCATCAATGCTTCAAGATTTTAAATGGGTTGTTAAATTGGTCTTCACAAGGTAGTAACTATATGTTTTCGGGGGGGGGGGTTAAATTCAGTTTAAATTTTAGGAATATTAAATATATTTAAATTGAAAAATAAATGGTTTTGAAAGATTTTCGGCTTTAAAAAATAAGGTTACTAAAAAATAAGGAAACATAACACCTTTTATGGCCAGATCTTTGTTTACGA